AGAAAACATAGTAATGTCTAATCAAAATATACATATATTTGTACATAATTTTTCTACATTCTAGTAAGCTTTTTTCTCAATGTCTGTTTAATTTTTTCTGTCTTATGCTAGAATAAAAGTAGAAGAGAAGAGCTTCATGTCATTAAGTAAAATGTCAAGGGCTTTCTGAAACAGTGGAGTTTAGGCTTTTTTTCATCACAGCTAAATCATTAGAGTTTACTGCTTAAAAGTCTAATCTAAACCATTAAATAACTCACTTTGAAACCTTGTGCATATTATTCCCAAGGTTTTACTGTCTTCAGTACAGACTGCTACAGAAATGTAGGGCCTATATTTCTCATAAGAACTTGGGTTTATGCTGTGTATACAGCACCCTGCTAAAGCTACCTAAATTGTTTCTTCTAATAAAGTAGCTCAAAACCTAGCCCATTGTATTGTGATATTTATGATATAAATATTTTTCTTATTTCTTTTTATTCTTCCTTGTACTAAAATTTATCAGAAAATGGATTTTCATCCACAAATCATGTCAGTATTATTAAAAATGTTCTAAATTTGGAGAAAACTTCAAAATTCTGCATTTTTGAAAGGTTTCTGTTGTATCTTGAATCACTGTCTTCACTAGAAGGATTTTTTTGAAAAGATAATTGATTTTAAAGTACAAAAGAAAAAAAGCAGAACAGCCTGTGTACAGAAGAAGGCCATTGACAGACTGTACAGGGGTAGATTGATTTGTACAAGATTTATACAGTTCTATACACCAAGTAAGCTTTGTCAAAATTTGTATTGGCTTTAGTAACTTAGATAGTCCTGGTGAAATCCCCTAATGTTATATTCATGAACTCAGGTATAGACTAGAAATTCTTCTTAAGACAGTCAGATAGTGTACATTCTTTACAGCAACAAAGAGATGCAGATTTCTATTTCAATGCCAATTTAGCCTCTTCAGGACTTTTGGAGGAAGTTAAACGTAATTCACAGCAACTCACTTTACTGCATTCTGCAAAATCCTGTGTAACCTCATCTAGGTGTTCCTGCTCCGGCAGGGGGATTGGACTAGATGATCTTTTGAGGTCCCTTCCAATCCCTAACGTTCTGTGATTCTGTGATCTGTAATTAGAGAATTCAAACGGTGATCTACAGAAAATATGTTTTTTCCTCAGCGATCCTCTGAAGACATTAGAGAGATTTTAATTTTTTTTTTACCTCATTTAATATCATAAGCACCAGCAGGATGGCAAAGAATAGCCAGTATACTTCAGTCAAGAATGGGTGATACTTCAGAGCCCATCACGATCTATTAACAGATCAGAATGTTTATGTTGATGACTCTTCCATGACAAATGCTCTCCCACTCAAAGATACAAGTACAGATTTCTAGAACAATGTAACCTGGAAATTAAGACAGACACAATGCTGTTCAAAGGTGAGGGGTTTTTTTGTGATAAAATGCTCTTCAAAGTGGTGCAAAGCATACTGCCTATATGTGATCATACATAATATACACTAAGATGCCTTCCTCCATGAGGATTTTGATACAGGTTTCTCACAAAGGGGTTGTGACCTTGTGAAAAAGCAAAGGCATGCTATTCTGGAAGAAGTAATATGAAGCCTTACTAATAACTAACTAAGCTTCTCAGCTTAGTTTCGACATTCCTTGTCTAACTGCAGCATCTTCCTGAGAGATTACCCCACCATGTCAGAGAGTGTAACATGGGAGGACTGTCAGAAAGGGGAGTCTTTCTCAGGTAAAAGGAGAACTAGAGCAAGCTAAAAGCTATGTAAGCTGGACAAAAGATTTGAGACTTGAGAGAAAGATTCACAGAGAATCAATGTACACTGCAGAGCAGTTCTGGGATGTCAGTGGATAATAAAATACAAGAAAGCTCTCTTTTAACAGAGATGGAGAAGGCTACAGACAACGATTAAGTATATTTAAGTCAAAGTTCAGGTAGCCATGGAGAACAGATCTGTTCAAATTACAGCCAGCACCAGCGTCCTCCCTAGATGGCAGTATCAGAGTGTCAGCCAAGCTGAGAGAGCTGCTTCAAGTCCTTGTGAAAGCTCCAGAAAAAGATAAAGAATTTAAAATAGTTATTTTACTTCATGGTTAGCCAAACAAGGTTTCTAAGCTTGAAACACAAGCATAAGATATATATCAATGTCATTGTCTTCACAAATACACCTTCCCTCTTTCTCTTATTTATTGTTACAGGTCTTCTGTTTTGTTTTGGTTTTCTTTACTGTTGGTGACCTGAAACTTCAAACTCTTCATTGAACTTCGAGAGTAAGAGCTCATGACAGCAGCGCTTTTTGAAAAGAGCCAAACCACCATGAAATAGGTGACTAATGATCTGTTCTTTTCCCTTCTGACCAGATGAGTACAAAGTATTTTGCTTTCTGACCGGGAGATACCTGAAAAGTTCAATTCACATGCACACACTTCAATGCAATTTATTGCATACCGCTAGAACATAGTGTACTAATTGGGATTGTCTTACATAACCACCCCTTTTCCAGAAGGTTTACTGTGGAGGTGAAGGAAGAGAAAATGGCAATGACAAGGAGAGAAAGATTGAGATTTAATACATAATAACAATATACACTTTTTCTAAGACCTCACAAATTCAGCAGAGCATAGTTTCTACTGGGCATTGGATTCTAACCAGGAAAAGCTTTTATTTAATAGTTTCAAATCACCTAAAAATGTTAGAGATATCTGGCACGTATACTGTCACTATTTTTACCTTATCAGAAATCAAGAATGGTCCAAGATTACCTAAGTCGACAGTGGCAAAACAGGGCAATAGTGAAAACATCTCAATCTAGAAAAGGAGTAATATCTTTGTAGCTTTCACCAGCTACATGGCTTTATATCTAGTGTCTGAGCTGGAAAGCCTATGGTCTAAATAGATTGGTTTAATAAATTTTCTATGTGACAACCGTTCTGTTACTTCCTAGAGTTTTACCTTTATTTTTTTCAGAACGGACTGCTTCTGCCAAAGGCTGGGCCAGTTCCTCAATGTTATATAAATTACTTTTCTCAATTAACAAATGCTCGTACTTGTTCCCTATTCTGAGAATTTATTATACAACCTTCATCTATATCTTTAGTAAGAGGAATCTTTTGTTTCAGTATGTTCTTTCACTTGATCAGTGATATTTAGTGATGTACCAGTCATAGAGGTATGTAAGCATTAAGAAGTCACAGACAGATGTTTCTTCAACTATTTCAGGGATTTAAACTTCCCCTATCTGCTCCTTTTTTTCCCTTCTGACATTGTGCCAAATATTCCCATAAATTAATTATTTTCCTCAGGACTGAAATAAAGCTTCGGGGTTTAGTGTTCCAAAAGGCACTGTAGCATATTTTCTCATCTATGTAAACCACACAATAGTTCAGTAAAACAGCTTTTCACAGCAGCATTTTGCAATTCTTCCTTTTTCATTTCCTCCAAAACTCTTGCATGAACAGTATTGTATCCTAGTGACTGGCCTTGAGCCTTAAAGGGAATTTAGTTGTATGATTCTGAGTAGATAATTTGCCCCCCAATTTGTTTGCCAAATGGGTGTCTAATTTACATGCACAATTATCTCAATTGCATGCATAAATGAGCTAATGAAACACACAAATGTGTAACTGGTCATAAATAGTCATTTCCATGTGCAATTGCAGTAATTGCATGATCCTCATCATTTTTAAAATCAAGAACTTAATGTTAATTTGATGCTAGTTCATGTTGTATAACAGTTATATTTAAAGATTAAGTTTATCACTCAACAAATGCAGCAGTCTCTTCCTATTATGTCTTTTTTCCATTATGGTTAATTGGTGGCTAACAGTGTTTAACATTACAAGGAGTTCTTTTTGCCGATAAGCAGGGTTCAAAGATTTCCTCAAAAGAAGCAGGTCTGCAAATCTATTTTTATACTATATTGTGTCACAGTAACCACAGTTTTATACTCCTTTAAACAGTGTGTTTATAAAGAAATATTCATTTGCTGTAAAAGAGATTTTGAGGAAAAAGATAATAAATCACATAATCATTTTTATCCAAATGTTATGATTCACAATAATCACATTACAGAAATATCTAATTAATTTAACTCTTTGTTTCAGCCACAGTTTCTGCCAAAATATAACTCTCATTTTCCATCTCCAAATGCAGGAAAATCTTGCAGCTCTTGTTACTTATCTGCTGCCATCCCATCTGTTTTTCTTTTAGATTGCAATTGCTTTCTGGATAACATAGAACTAAGACTATAAGAGAGATTAGCAGGTGTCATGACGTGACTCAATGACTCCAAAGTATTATATGAAAACTGCTACATAATCACATGAAAAGACTCATGTGTTTTGTACTTTTAAATTGTATGGTGTAGAGACCAAGAATGTATATTGCAGTAGCAGCTTTAAGTAATTGAACATAGTCCATTTTAAAATTAAAATGCATATTTCAACCATTTTACTGATATGATTAGACAGTAAACAATATAATTCAATTGCAAGGGTTATGTTTTAATCTCCTGAAGGTAAGATTTGACTTTGTATTTTCTTTCAGTATTTGACTTTGTATTTTTCTTTCAGGAATAGGGTTGATAAATGCAGAAATACTATGTTCATTATTGCAGATAATACTCAGAAACATTACTGAATAACAATAGCTGAAAGAGTAATCCAAAGTACATTAAGAGGATAATGTTGATTATGTTTATAGTTAGATGGCAACTTACAAGTGAACACCATCTAAAGCATTTTACAGATTTGGCCTTGATCCTGTAATCTATTTCACTCAGGAAATCTCTTGAGCCACCTATGAGACTACTATGAGGAATATTTAGATCTTTTCATGTAAATATGTTTGTACCATTCATGTCCCAGGCCTTATCATTTGATCAGTTTTGTAATATAGGTTATGTTTATAAACAAATTCCATTAGCACAGAGAGTCAAGTTAATGTGTTGAAGCCAGTAAAGGAGGAAAAAAATCTCAAACTTGCCTTCAATAGCTGCTGGTTTCTTTCTTGGACTATGTTCTAGAAGAAGACGAGGTGGTACCATTTCCTTATGTCCTGCACATGAGTATATAGGTTTAGAATCATAGAAAATGTATTCACGAATAGGCTGAGCAGTTTCACTGGAAGGCTGAGCTCCCTTCAGATCTGTTCATGTTTAAAATATTACACTGTGCATGAAAGCTATTATCTTCCAGACACCACAGGAAGGAAATGTATTTCTCAACAAATAATTTATTTTTAAGAGACACATTTTAAAACAATGAAGTCCAAGCAACTCAAGCATATGCTGAAATGCTTACAGTTCTATTTGTCTTCATTAGACTAAAAAACTCTGAAGAATAAGACTATGATAATAAGGTTACATATTCATGATGCCTCTTATACAGTAAAAGCTTATTTTCTTCTATCAAACAAATGATCTTCAGTTGTTCCCTCAAGTCCACTTATTATGAACTTCTTGAAACACCACTAAAAATTATGATGTTTCTCATCCTTAAGGATCATTCTTAATTAGCCAATACCAACCAGGTCATGCACTGTAAACTCTGACAAGATTCTGATCCAGCTGCTGACTGAAAGACCTCTGCTGTCTCAGACTATTGAACTGTACTCTCTCATAGTATTGAACTGGGGCTTTATGCACTGTCTTAACCTATGTGCAGATACCATGCTTTATCCAAAATATTTTTCACTTCATTTCCCCAAAGATTTGCAAACAAATCTATTGCACTCTTACATTACTTATGCTTCTTTTATGATTTATAACACCTGTTTACAGTCTCATTTTAATTTCTTTCTCTGACATTTTTGCTGGGTAGTTATCATGTCATTGTAATTTGGAAACCGCTATCTATTGTGTCCTGTGAAATAAAATTAATTCGTTAAATATAATACGGATACAGTCATATGCAGCAGCCTACATCCACTGCACCAGAGCCCACATGCAACCAAGCTGTTAAATCTCAGCTCCAGCTCCGTATCAGAAACTCAAAGCCATGCCTCATGCTTGGTGATAGACTCAGAAGAGAAATTAAGATCTTAATGAGCTTTGGAAACCACAGTATCATACTTACCTCTCTCATTTTACAAAGTTATATATACTCAAGGGAATGCATGAGAAAAACATCATCCTGAAGACAACAGTGGGATTTGAGCTCCATGGACTTAATGTCATTGCATTTCATCTGGATATATATGATTGCAGGCGAATAATTTGCAAGCATGTAATTTAGTTCATGTGGTAATTTGTATAAAGTATTATACAAGGAGCTGCTCAAACTTGACTCACATACCTAAGCCACTGACAGAACATTGACACATTGACAAAATCAATGCACTGAAGGCACTATGCAACAAATTGAATAAATATTAGGCTTTACATGTATTTTTTGGTAATAATCACAACTGGACATTTACCAGTATCATCATAGAATGACTGTAACCCTCAAATGAATCATAGACAAACTTCAGGAATCTGAATGTCTAGTCATGATTTCCCAAACACTTTATGCCATCTTGAAATTTCAAACTGAGCTAATGAGATGCTGAATACCATCTATTTCCAGCCAGAATAAAGAAGCTATATCCGCAACCTCCGTCAACATACAGAAACTTCATTAACTGAATTTCTAGTTCAGAATGAAAACAAAAGTAATATAAAAATAATGAAGAATGGGTAAATAATCTTATTTTTTTCTGTTAGTTTTTATTATAGTCTTAGATTAAAGTTTAGCTCTTTTTTTTTCTTTTCTTTGTTTTTCTCTGAACTAGATCATCTACCCCTTGATGGAAAAGTGATAAATTTTACAATTTGGACTAACTGCTTTGTCTGAAAGATATAAAGGGCAGTGGCTCAGAATGTTGAGCAGATCAGTAATGAAGAAGGATAGTCAATAGTCTGGACTGCAATGTGGTATTTACTGTGTGAGGCAATGATCTGACACCGCTAGGTCAAAGTATAGGCTGGCCCCATTATCTTCCTGTTCTTTACTGTAGTAGCAGTTTTCTAACGATTGCACCAGTGTTAGTATAATGCCAGTGCGATACCACTTATTGCTAATGACTTGTCAAGTTCTATTTTATAGCTTTACAAGTTTTAAGCAAATCATTTATTTCATGCAAATTGACCACATGATCCAATATGAGAGTATTTTAAGCACCAAAAGCTCAAGCTTCGCAGATCAAAAACTTTCCCTTAGGCCAGAATGTTTGTTCTGAGCAGGTTCCCATCCACTCTGATAAAAAGCTTCTTTAATGTTTCCATGTGTTATTAAATGTCTCTCTATTCACTTTGATGGGAATGCAAAGGACAGTAGCTGAATAAATATTTTATCCATTCTTTTGATGAAATATGTTAAAGGAGATATCCTAAGTCAAATTTCTTTTCTCTTCCTTTTTCATTCCTTTGTAAGATATAAAGCACAAGTAGTTTTCAGCAGTACAGAGGACTCATAAATAGAAATGAGGAATTGGCCTCAGCAGATCAGACCATTAGGATTAATGGTATCTACTACGTTGACTCCAGCAGTGGCCAGTTGGATGCATATCCATGATATAAATGAGAGGAAAGCAGGATATTTTTAATGATCCCAGTGGACAATCAGATTAGTCCATGAATCATGAGAAGTCATTATCCAGATTACCACTATTATTATTGGACATCTCACTGCTTTAAAAATGCAGCTACAGAAGAGCACTGAAATTTAGTGTCTGCATATATATTTGCTTCTCATTTCAAATGTAGACTTTATTTTTCTACTAAGAGATAAGCTGAAAAGTGTCATTTGACTTGATTATTTTTTTTTAAATTTATTAGGGTTTGATATTTCCAAAAGATGTGATTGCAAACACAAAAATGTGCATACATTTCAATGCTTAATATGCCCATGCAGTTGTGCTACAGATACCTTCTTCATATTCGATATTGTAAACAGCTATCTGACAACAAATTACAGCTGATGGAAACCAAAATAGTGAAATGTTTTGTCTTTAAGCTCATAGGAATGTGCACATCAGGAGAAAAAGTGTCATGTTAAGACATAAGTAGCTTCCTCCACTGCCTGAAAGGAAAGAAATATGCTGCAAAGATGAGTACAAGCTTTAAGACACTAGCTGGGTACATGAATGCTTCATTGAAAATAACCTGCAGTCCACAAGCTCTGTGAAACTTCTGTCATCACTGTTTGCTAAATTACTTGAGATGTCATGAAGAAATTCATCCTGACTTGGTTTATGAATATTTTACATTTTATATTACATGATAAGGAATACAAGGCAAACTTTAATTACCTTACTTTTCTTCATCTAGATAGTGTCATTTTACATGTGTCAAAAATATCATGTCCAAGCATTGAGGATAAATTGATTTCTTATGATAACAGCAAATCATATGGGTCTTCTTTCTTGCCTGATCTGTCTAGTTCAATTTCTCTGCAGTGACCTTAATTGACATAGCTAAAGTCTATAAATGTATCCTTCTAAATCAAAAGATCATGGAATAAAAGAAAACACTTCTAAAATGATTCTAAAATATTATTCTAAAATGGCTGAAGACATTGTGGACAGCTGAATGTTCCAATTGGATGTGATGATATATAATGCCATCATAGGAAGCAGTATGTAGAAACAGCATTCCTAAGACTGTGCACTTCCTCATTTCCATATACCGGTTATCCTAACTGCAGTAATCATATAGTCCAACAGCACCAACACTTTGCATAATGTCTTCAGATAAATCTCATTCCGCTCAGATGTCACACCTTACCTAATAATAGTAGAAATCATTGAATCATAAAATCATAGAATGGCTTGGTTTGGAAGGGACCCTAAAGATCATCTAGTTCCAAACCCCCTGCCACAGGTAGAGACACCTCCCACTAGACCATATTGCTCAAAGCCCCATCCAGCCTGACCTTCAACACTTGCAGAGAGGGGGTGCCCGCAGCTTCTCTGGACAACCTGTTCCAATGCCTCACCACCCTCATAATGAAGAATTTCTTCTCAATTTCTAATCTAAATCTACCCTCTTTCAATTTAAAACTGTTATTCCTTGTCCTGTCACTACACTCTCTGATAAAGAGTCTCTTCTCATCTTTCCTGAAATAAAGTAAGTATGCTCTTTGCAGAGTTAATTGTTATGAAAAGTAATTTAAAATCAAATGTTTCATGAAGTTTGGAAAATGACATGGATCAGCAGAAGGAGGTCAGACTGCCAAATGAACTTTTAGAGGATTGAAATCTTAATGGAGTCCCATCGTTCCATCCAGGCTTCCAGTTTTGATGTGTAAGTTGCTTGAAGTTAAAGATGAACCTCTCCCATGTTATTAGTTGTTGTTTTTCAGATATCAAACTGTCACTATTCTGAGGAAGTGCTTCTCCTCTTACTACATGTGCATGAACAATTATGAGCAAACTGTTTTTCATTAAGAAAGAGGTGAGGATCAAACGGTGAGACTGTAACTGTTCCGAAAAATGCAAATGCTCATTTTGGGGAAAGAATGAATTGAAACACAGATGCTCCAAACAGACAATCTTTCTAAGGAACACATAACAAGAAGGTTTTATGTACACTAGTAAATTAAACGGTGCCCGGGAATGTTTCTGGGCTCTAGAATTCAGACATAAATATCCTTCAACATTTTTTGAATAGCCTCTGACAACTTTGACCTGTACCAAGTAGCAACATCTTAAACAATTCATTGGCTCAGTCCAGGAGTCAGCAGGGGGCAGCGATCAGTCCCAATAGCAGCTGGGGTGTGCTCAGGTCCTTTTGACCATGGAGAAGTGTAATGTGTGTGGATCATTCTACAATAGAAGGAATCACATTCAGAGAACAGTTGAGCTGAGTTTGAATTACTAATCTAGATGTAGCCTACAAGTATTAAAAGTAATAAAAAAATATGTCAAATGGAAAAAAATAGTTTAAACAGGGTCTTAATGACCTATTTGGAACTTAGTTTTTGACAGAGGCAGATGGAATTAATGGATAATAAAATGAAGCTTTTAAGTAGGTCTATGTTAGTAGTCAGCATATATTTCAGTTTTTCAGTTACACT